CTCTGATGCTGCCTGACCTGCTGTGTTCCTCCAGCTGCACACTATATTGACTCTGACTCCAGCATCTGCAGTTCTTGCTATCCCCTCGGGTCTGGAATGTACCTCCTGAGTGTGTGGGGGAACCTTACCTGGAGTATTGTCTGCAGTTCCACTCCCTTACACACAGATTTGGACCTCCCATGAGTGTGCACAACAGACGTTTGACAGATTAATCCCTGCGATGGTGGGACTGTCTGAGGGGAGATTGAGGCAACTGGGCCTGAAATCTCAGAGCAATGGACCCCATCATGTAGTGTCTGTTTCTTCTTCCTTTTCCACCCCACCCCAGGCCACTGGCCCCTAAAATGAGAAATCCAGCTTGAGATCTGGAGCAGGCCAATGAGATGGGGAGGAAATTATTCACTGAACAAGGCAAGGGGGTTCGATGAATCTTTTGGAAATCTCACCTCCACAGGACAGGCTGTGGAGATTCAGTCATTAAGCAGGATTAAGGCTGAGAATTTTTGATGGATTTAAGAATCTTTCAGTATCAGTCGCAATGCCATTCCTAGGCAGACAATTCGAGGGGCTGAATAGCCTGCTCCAGTTCTGATTCCATATGTTCTGGCCAGTGAATTGAGAGAGAAAACACAATTGTTTATAGACCACTGTGTAAAACTGGACTAACTCTCTCTTCTTCTGTCTAACTACAGTTTGTGCTTCTGCTCCTGACGATGTACTATCTGACGACTCTGTGAAACCTGGATGTGTGCCAACCGTTCTGTGTCCAAATGCGCGCAGAAAACCCAACTGTCTTTCTCTTTATGAACTGAATGTTTGTTTGTATCTCGACTCTCTAATCCTCAGTGAGTTCAGCAAACAGAAGCTCCCAATCCTCACTGGACTCCTTTAACCAATCCTACACTCTGTTATAGAAACTATTAACTAACTGGTGGTGTACAGTTCGTATTCCCACCCCTCCATTACACTGCTGGGAAATGGGATTCCATGATATTCAATTTGATTTATTTTTCTCTATCCCACCCTTCTGATGTGTATGAGGCATCTGAACAGTTACTGCTGAAGAAACTAAAATAGGAATTGCTGGAGGAACTGGGCAGGTCTTTGCCACATCTGTGGAGGGAGAAAGCAGAAAGCCAACGTTTCGAGCCTGGTGACCCTTCAGATGAAGAGGCACTGGACTCTTAACTTTGTTTTCTCTCTCTCTCCACAGACGCTGCCAGACCTACTGAGTTTCTCCAGCAATCCCTGTTTTAGTTCCAGACTTTTTTTTAAAAAGCATCCGCAGTGGTTTTGTTTAGGTACAACCAGTGGGTTTGATTCATGTCTATCCAGACCCACTCCCTCCCCAGGGTGTGGGATCCAGTAACCATTTCACTCCATGAGGTGTACGGGATTTTTGGGATGTTGACCGGGCTGAGTGGTGTGAGGGTGCAGCAGAGAGAACCCAGTCTCTCCTTCCAAAGTGACTTTCCATTTCCCTCTCCTGACTTTTTTTTTTAAAAAATGACCCTGTTTCTGATCCTTAGATTATCTCTTTCCACGCACCCCCTCCCAGCCACTAAAAGTCTGGAGGATGTGGTGATCTTTACCTGATTATTTTTGGCTGCCTACTGAGGAGTCTGGCTCACTTTTTTTTTCTTTTTTTAAAAAAAAACTGAAGAACTTGCCTTGTGTTTGCAGCCCCTTTTACATCCCGGAGCGAGCTGGATTAATATCCAGAGCGCTGCCGAATCGGGCTGGATCATGGAGGGGCTTAGACAAGCCATTCATTAATACTGAGTGATTTGGTGATGTTGAAGACATTAATTTGCAATATTTTAATCTGTTTGAACTGTAGCTTTTTTTTGGGGGGGGGAAGGTCGAGGTGTATTTGTACAGTGACCCCTGTGTGTGTATGTGAAGGGGGTTTGTCAGGGAGCTGATTATTTTTTTGTATGAGAGGCAGGGTACAGAGTGTCAGCTGTGACCGAATGAACACCCCCACCTTGTATTTGGGACTGTTCTTTGTGAAATGTGTTTTTTTTTGTTGCCAGCTGCTCTTGTGTATCACTGTTCAAACCTTTGTATATTTTACTCTAATATTAAAGTTTTTCCAGTGACTTATTTGTAGAATCATTACAATCCCTACAGCAAAGCATTCAGCCCACTGAGTCTGCACTGACCCTCTGAAGAGCATCCCACCCAACTACCCTATCCCTGTAATCCTGCATTTCCCATGGCTAATCCACCAAACGTGCACATCTTTGGACTGTGGGAGGAAACCCAAGCAGAGACGGAGAGTTTGCACAGTCACCCAAGGCTGGAATCGAACCTGGATCCCTGCTAGCTGCTGTTCTGGCACCACCCCCCACCCCGCTGAACCATTGCTGTAGTTTATCTAAAATAGAGTTGTTTCCTTTTAAACTGAATGTTTGTTTGTGTGGGGAGCAGGGCCAGGAAATCTTTAAAGAGATGACATGCCCAATGGGATGGGTGCAGTGGGTGTGAGAGAGACTAGATTGACTGGACATCGCATAAGAGACAAGCCTTTATTTATAATATTTTTGAGATGATCAGAGGTGTGAGCACATTTGCCAACACTGTTCTTTCTTTAATCCAGAGCAGAGGGCTGTTAGAGATGCACACAAATGCCTGGTCAGCTTTGTTGCTCCCAGTTAATATATTTACAGTCACAAAGGCCAGACCAATTTAACATGGCAGACTTCCTTACTGGGTATTTTTTTGGCTTTTGCATTTTCTTCATCCCTCTCGACAACACTCCCAGAGTTGTTTTGTTTTTGTCACTGATGTTGTCTTGTCATTGTGGCCTGATTTTCAAGTTTGTAATTCCCTCCCACCCAGTTGCTGGAGTAGGGGTTTGGAAATCCCGGTCAGCCTCAGCCATTCGAGATCCAGTTCCAATTGTCCCAGCCTCCAGGACATGCTGGCATCTCGCTAGCAGCAAGTGACTTGCCCTGACTGACCATTTCCTCAGGGAAGAGTTCTACAACCAATTTGCAATGTGGCATTGCGGGCCTGGATTGGAGATTTGAACCCTATACTTTCGGGGATTGTGGGCACTTTTTATCTTGGACCTCCCAGATCACTCTGCGATCAGAGTCTGGAATCTCTCCAGAGCACTGAAGGTGGGAAATGTGTTTCAGGGATACGGAGCTCCAGTCAGCATTAACCCCCCGCCCCCAAACCCAGGGGCAGCTTGATGCTCCATTAGTTGGGGGGGGGGAAATGTGGAAAAGATGTCACCCCTCAAGGGAGCTACCAGCTCTGTTCCCCATCCTCCTGCACTGTCCCCTCCAATGTCAGTCCCACTGCCATGACACCACTGCCACCCACCCCCTCGGCTTGGGCAACACCCTCTTTACACTCTCCTCCTCCTCTCCAAATCCTTCCTCTAGACCCCCTATACCCCCTCCCTATCTCAGTGATTTCTACCCCCCACCCCGACCTCCATCGCTCTGTCCCTGGGTGCCTGGTAATTCTCTCCTGTGAACCAGTCTGTCCCACTTGTGTGTGTGTGGTTGGGGCTGAGAGGATGACGACAACGATTTTGTTGTTGCTCTTGTGAGAGTGAAGGTGTGGTTAAACTCACGGGGGATGTTACATGTAGAAGGTGCTACGTCAATCGCAGTTTGTCTTTGGAGACACTGGTTATGGGATATGTTTTTTGTGTGTGAGTGTGTGAGAGAGAGAGAGAGAGAGAGAGACACACCACACCCTGTCAGTGAGTGACATTCCCAGGGGTCAGAATCGACGTAATGGTGGTGTTTGCCATCTCAGGCTGTATTGCAGGGAGCTGCTGCTAACAATGGGGCTGTGTCTGCCTGACGGTGACGGTGTCACGGAGCCGGCCAGGAATCTGGGCGGAGGCTCAGCAACCTGATGATTCAGCACCCACCCTGCCCTACAATATTCTGTCTCTGTCTCTGTGTGTGTGTGTCTCTCTCTGGCAATCTCTCCCTTTTTACTGAGACGTTGCTTTTAAACCCATATGCCTCAGACAATCTCTGCCTCACTGATAACCAGACAATTGTCTACCCCAGTCCAACCCCATCAATGATACCAGCAGCCCCCTCAACACTCTCAGCCTGAGGAGCTACGTTCCCTCCGCCTGTGTGGGGAGGTTGTGTGCATGTAAACGGTCTCCCTGTGCTTTTGGCTTCCCCCCCACCTCCCCCGATCACGGATCCTTCAGTAAGGTCACCCCTGGGGGTTTAGAGGAGAGAATAGGGACGATAAAGAGGAAGGGATAGGACTGGTTTGTGATGACTGTACATTCACTGCCCTGTTTTCAGACACATGACCATCCTGTGGATTAAATGAGAAGACCAGAACTGGCTCCTACCAATGTTCTGTATGACTGGTCGGAACGGGCTTGGTTCCTCAGCTCCCTCTACACTGTTTTCCGCCCCCTGCCTCGCATCGAACACTCCCTGGACAGGGACAGCACAGGGTTAGATACAGAGTAAAGCTCCCTCCACACTGTACCCCCCATCGAACACTCCCTGGACAGGGACAGCACAAGGTTAGAAACAGAGTAAAGCCCTCTCTCCTGTATTGGAGGAAGAGAGGGGGTGATCTTGTTGATGTTTTTGAGTGATGAGGGGTTAATGCTGGGTCTGATGTGCAGATAGTCACTGTTGTGACAGAGACAGAGAGGGAGGAAGGGAGAGAGAGAGGGGGGGAGGGAGGAGACGGAGAGAGAGAGGGGGAGGGTGAGGGAGGGAGGAGAGTGAGAGAGAGGGAGAGAGGGAGGAGACAGAGCGAGAAAAGGAGAGAGAGAGAGAGGGGTAGGGAGGAGACGGAGACAGAGAGGGAAGGAGGAGACAGGGAGAGAGAGAGAAGTGGGGGAGGAGACAGAGCGATAGGGAAGAGACAGACAGACAGAGAAGGATGGAGGAGACAGGGAGCGAGGGAGGAAACTGAGACAGAGAGAGGGGGAGGGTGAGGGAAGAAGGAGACGGTGAGAGAGAGGGAGAGGGAGGGAGGAGACAGAGAGAGAGTGAGGGAAGTGACAGAGACAGACAGAGAAACAGAGAGACAGAGGGAAATTTAGGGAGGAAAAAGAGGGAGAGAGGGAGCAAGGGATGAGACTGAGGGAGGGAGAGAAAGGGAGGAGACAGAGAGAGAGGGAGGAAACTGAAACAGAGAGAGGGAGAGGGGGGAAGGAGAGAGAGGGAAGGAGGAGGTGGAGAGACAGGGAGGGAGGAAACAGAGAAGCAGGAGAGAGGGAGGAGACAGACGTAGAGAGAGAGGGAGGGAACAGAAGGGGAGAGAGAGGGGGAGAGAGAGAGGGTGGAGACAGAGGGAGAGGGTGGAGATAGGCAGAGAGATAGATAGGGAGGAGACAGAGAGACAGAAAGAAGAGAGAGAGATGGAAAGTGAGCAAGGGGACAGAGAGATGCTGAGATAGAGGAAGGAAACAGAGAGAGACAAAGAGAGAGGGAGGGAGGAGACAGAGAGAGAGATTGAGGAGTGAGGGGAGGGAGTCAGAGAGAGAGGAAGAGTCAGAGAACGAGAGATGGAATTGGAGAGTCGGAAAAAGAGACAGGAAGAGAAATGGCGAGAGGGATAGTAAGGACAAAAGGCAGGTGAGAGCGGGAAGGTGAGAGACAGAGAAGGGGAAAAAGAGGGAGACAGAGAGAGAGGAAAAAGAATGGATACAGAACTGGCTTGGTCACAGGAGACAGAGAATAACGGTGGAAGGATGTTTTTCTGAGCGGGGATCTATGAGCAGTGGTGTTCCTCAGGGATCAGTGCTGGGATCCCCGGGGTGTACAATATATATAAATGATTTGGAGCAGAGTGTAGGTAGCCTGGTTAGTAAGTTTGCGGATGAGACAAAGATTGGGGGGAGGGACGGATAGTGAGGAGGATTGCCAGAGGATCCAGCAGGATAGAGATAGGCTGGAGACTTGGGCGGAGAAATGGCAGATGGAGTTTAATCTGGACAATTCCAAGGTGATGCATTTTGAACGGTCTAATGCAGGAGGGAAGTATACAGTAAATGGCACAACCCTCAATCGCCTCAACACACAGAGGGATCTGGGCGTACAGGCCCACAGTTCCCTGAAAGGGGCAACACGAGTGGATAAGTTGGTCAAGAAGGGGTATGGCATGTTAACCTTCATCGGTCGGGGCGTACAGTATAAAAATTGGGAAGTTGTGTTGCAGCTGTATAGAACTGAAGTGAGGCCACATTTGGAATATTGTGTCCAGTTCTGGTCGCCTCACTCCCAACAGAATGTGGAAGCTTTGGAGAGGGTTCAGAAACAATTTACCGGGATGTTGCCTGATTTGAAGGAGATTAGCGATTAGGAGAGATTGGACAAACTTTTGACTTGAATGTCGAAGGCTGAGGGAGCGATCTGATAGAGGTTTACAAAATAACGAGAGGCACTGGGATAGAAAGGATGGTTGGAGTCTGTTTCCCAGGGGAGAAATGTCAATTACTGGAGAACAGAGGTTTAAGGTGATGGGGCGGGGTAAGTGTAAAGGAGGTGTGAGAGGCAGGTTATTTTACACAGAGGGTGGTAAGTGCCTGGAATGAGCTGCCAGAGGAGGGGGTGGATACAATAGCAACGTTTAAGAGGCATCTTATCAGATACATGAAGAGGCAGGGAATAGAAGGATATGGGTAGTCTAAAGGCAAAAGGGTTTTAGTTTAGAATGGGATCATGTGTCACAGTCCTAATGGGCCGAAGGGCCTGTTCCTGTGCTGTAGTGTGCTTTGTTTTTTGAGACAGAGAGAGAAAGACAGAGGAGACAGACACAGAGAGAGATAGAGAGTGAGATGGAGAGAGGGTGCAGGGGGTACCGATGGTGTGGGAGGACGCGGGGTGTGTGGGGGTGTGAGCTTGAGGAGGTGGGGTGGGGGAGGAGGTGAGGGGGAATGTAGTGCCTTCCCGGACCCAGTGATGAGGCTCAGATCGAAGCCCCCTCCGCTCCCCTCCCCTCCCCTCCCCTCCCCTCCCTGCAGCTATATCAGCAGAAACTCCTCTCAGCCTCATCCCCTCGGTGCCCCCAGGGAGGGGGACGCTCTGCCTGCCTCTGGGAACCTCCCCGGCAGGACCGGTACAGGCCGAGGTGGGGGAGTGCAGTG